CGGGCCAGGTATTGTCCCCTGTGCTCGGCACTGGAGAGGCCACTGCTTGAGCACTGGGTTCAGTTTTGGGCCCCTTATGACAAGACACTGAGGAGCTGGAGCGTGTCCAGAGCAGGGAAACGGAGCTGGGGCAGGGTCTGGAGACCAAGTGTGGGGAGGAGCGGCCGAGGGAGCTGGGGCTTTCTTAACACATGTAAGCTGAAATTCTTATTCTGTACATTTAATATGTTTTTGTTTGGAAAATTTAAGCTTAATTCTAATACTTTTCTTGTGCATGACCTGCTGCTGTCTTTTACTGCTTTATTCATTGTTAGCCTTTGCCTCTGATATGAGACTTTTATAGGCAGTATATTAATGACTTTTGAAAACAGCTCCAATATACATTTCCAATAATACTAGTGAAGTAAAACTAAACCTACGGACTAAGTTACTGCGCTTAAACTGCATACTGTATTCAGTCAGCTTAGTTTGCATCTGCTAGGAAGGCTTATCTCAGATAAATATTCTGGAATCTGCTACCTTGCCTAAAATATTTTTTTCACTTTTGTCATCTTCTCTTCCACATTATGCTGTATAAAACAAAACTTGTATGTGTAGGCCTTTATTTTTCATTTGTTTTTGATCAAAGTTTGAATGGTTGTACTAGCTAGAATCTTCACAAGAAACTGCTAGCTCCTCATCAGACAGAATGCAAGCCAGTGCAGCTTTTGCAGCTGAATATTAAGGACCTACAACAGGTGTCCTGATACTGGAAAAAGCTCATCACCTCAATTTTCTATCACCCTTCCTTACCCCTTACAAATAAGCTAAAAGCTGGTTCTGCAGCTCCTCCTTATCTTGGATGTAACGTGAAAGGTCTCACACTCTCCCAGAACAGCTTTGTTTCTGTGTACTTTTTAAATAATGTGTTGATCTTGCTGCTTCTTCTGGTACCAGAATTTTCAAGAGATACAAGTTTCAGTCGCAGTATAAAAAGAGAGTTGCCGGCATGATCACCTGATGAAGGACAGTAGTAATATGCTCCTACATGCACAATATACTGAGTCATCTTTGCACATCTTAATTCCAGGCAGCAGAGAAGCTGTTCTTTGACTGCCATTAAACAGTTTATGATTGCTCTTTAGATTTGCTGTTTGCATATAATTAACATTACAAAAGTATGAATGCAGCCATTATTTCCAAAGGAAATAACGTGAAGATTTTAATAGTACATATGTGAGAGAGGAAATTGAAATAAATGTGAGCTGCAAACGCTAGGTGCACAAAGACTTGATTAAAAGAAAATTGTCATGATGAGCAGCTTTATTTATTAATATCACAATGACATAACTTAGGAATCTGAGAGATGAAACATTCACAGGGTAACTAGATATCTAATGCTAAGGTAGAGCTCATTCACTGAAACTTTGCCTGCGGTCAGTATTGGTTAAGATAATACTTTCTTTAAGAAGTTTTTTCAGGTTTGACCTGAGCTCCTAATGTTTTTAGTTCATTGCTGAAATGTTTTTGGGAAGTATCTTACTAATAGCGGTATACTCTAGAACTCAAAACCACAGTTAGACACAAAGTTTATGTTAATTTAAAATTTAAACCAATTTTTGTCATTTTTATCATTAATCTGTGGAAATAAAAGTTTATAAAGGTGAGATTACAGACAAGGAAACTGCAGGGCAGATAACAGCACTTCATGAAAGCAGTCAGATCCTTCTGGGTCCTCTGAAAGCTTACAGAGTTCAGTGTTTTGCTGTCATGAGTAGCAGAGAATAAGAAGGAAACCCTATGCCATTAAGAAGATCTTCAGAGCTTTGAAATCTGATGGGATCAATACCTATACTATGTGTACTATGTGTAGCATTTGCTATTTCTCTGACGTGCTATATAGGAATAGAACTAGGGAGATGAAAGAGTGAGATGGTTTATTCTTTCATAATGTTTGCTCATCTATGATATATTTCTTGATTTTACATTTTTCTTTAATTTTTTTTAGCTGTTTAGTGATACTAATTCGCTCACTGCTCCAGGCATATACTATGGGATGTACTCTGCACTTTTAGAAATATTTGTACCTTTCCAGGAGAAATTACAGACAAATTATTGAGTGTGCGAATTGTAGTTTATTTTTTTAATAACGGTAGATCTATTCAGATCTTCTAAGAAGATTCTAAGATTCTAAGAAGATCATCTGTTAATTATTGTAATTTTATTTTTTTTCATTAAGCTATTCTTTTACTTACAAAGATACTTCACTCCTAGGTTAAAAGTACTAACCTGTCCAGAGGCACATGGTGTGTGTTTGAAGGATTAGTGGAAGAGGATCTGTTTCCTGATATAATCACAGAACTTGCTGCTGGTCAAAAGTACTCTATACCTCCTGTGAAACTTCTTCATTCTCTTCTAGAATATGTCCTGTTGGTAAGTGATGAAGACTAAATTATTATAAATATTAAAGCAAGGAAGTAGTATAGTCTTTATTTGTGACATTGTATTTAATGTTTAATTTTAGTGATGTATTCACCCTTCACTTTGTGTTCATCAACATGTTCATGTTAAAAAGGGAAGAGTTCAGTATTTAAGGATTTTTAAAAAAATATTCTTTATTTACAAGCTGTATGAATGTAGTGCTCTGAATATTGTGGAAGAATTGGCCCAGAATTTTTCATATTGCTTTCAGAAATAGCACTTGTATGACTTCTTTTTTTTTTAACCTATTAGGCCACATAGCTCAGCTGAGAAGGTTTATTATAGGAAGTGCTGCATTCAGATGGAATATCACACTAGAGCGACCTCTCTTTTTTTTGTAGCCTCTAAATTTTGCATTTCGTAGTTATGCACTAAGCTGCACGTTACTTTGCTGATTTAATTTGGTCACTTGGGAATTTAAGGAGTAAAGAAAATATTTAAAGTCTTAGTGATCATGGGTATTTTGGCAGTATGGATCCTGGAGAAGAAAAGGCTCCCAAAGGAGAGACCTTAGAGCAGCCTTTCAGTGCCTGAAGGGGATACAGGAGAGATGGGGAGGGACTCGATCAGGGCATGTAGGAACAGGACAAAAGAGAGTGGTTTCAAACTAAAAGAGGATAGATTTAGGTTAGATATGAAGAAGAAACGTTGTATGATGAGAGTGGTGAGACCCTGGCAGAGGTTGCCCAGAGCAGCTGTGGCAGCCCCTCCCAGGCAGTGCCCAAGGCCAGGTTGGACAGGACTCATACTTCTATTAATATTATTTTTTCATTTTATTACAGGGAAATGCTGATGCAATATTTTATGCGAAACTTCATCAGGTTTTTTACCTTGTTCTCCAATGTGATCCTCCTTGGAAGTCCCCAGCTATGTTAAATTATTATTTGGATCTTCTTCAGTGTCCTATCTGTAAGAAGGGCACGTGGTCCTTGATAGAGATGCTTGTAAGGTAAGAAAGTTTAATGAGGTGTTGGATTCAATAGTTATGTTACTCCAAATTCAGGGGTGTGGCAGGAGGGTTGGAATTCTGTTGTACCAAAGTCACATTTTTACCAGAACAAGTTAAATGTGTGTGAATATCCAGAATTGTGACTGAGATTTGGAACTTTCACTTTTTTTCTGTGTGTTAGCTCACAGGCAGAGTGGAGTGGTTTTGGAAAGTTAAAAATGCATTTCTTTCTCCTCCTTTTTAAAAAAATTATCTATTTTTAATTTTTAAGCTTTCCACATGTTATAATAATCAGTGTATTCTTCCTATTCTGGTGTGTATATATATGTACACCCACATATATATCTGTTATAAAGTTAAAAAGCACATTCCAGTCTTACACCAAATATGAATGTTCATCTTGTATTTTGAATTGAATCATAAACTTTGCCATCTTGTTCAGGAAGTCTGTTTATATCTGATAGATTTACAAGTGTGGGTCTCAGTGTATAGGAGGTCTTTGGGTAGTTAGTCTGTACTTTAGCTTGAAAATTCATTTTTTGTCATGTTCGTCAGTAGAAATTAATTCTTCTGTTCATTTGTAAGAGAAGCTCTACCTCTTATTGCCATAAAATCTTAAGTAATAATTAAATACTTTGATGATGATTACAGAATATGAATACATATGATTTTAAGCGTGTCTGTAATCTTGAAGGGCATCACTGCACTCAGATCATTGTAATTGGATGTTTAATAGTTTTTATTAGAAATATATCATATGGAATGGAAAAGTTTTTATTTTATAGTGTTTACTGGCAGAATGTTAAGTACCCAGCAGTTGTATACCTGGTGGTTCCAGTACTCAAAATTTTAGCCATGTATTTGTGCTCCACTTCAGAATTACCTCCATCATGTTAAACAATCATTAAGGTTGATGATAAACTGCAGGCCTGTCAAAAAGTGTGTGTGAACTGTTACCTGCACTAAGCCTTGTAAGGTATTATATATCTAATATACTACAATCCTACCTTGCATTTAAACAATTTTTTGAAAGTTCTGTTAAATTCAGTAACTGTACAGTACCTCAAGTAGAGACAGAAAAAATAAATACAGTTCAGTTACTTTGTTTACACTATAATACAAAATCTTCCTGTGCAACACAAACCCCAAGTCACAAATGTATTAATTTGGGGTTTTTTTGGAAAATACAGCTTTAAAGCTGGAAAGGTAGACTTTAAGTTGATGAATGTTGCTGGGGAGCAAGGTGTTTACTTGTCAAAATTTTCAAAATTCAAAAATGATATTTTTGCTGATAGATTAGACTGTGATTTCTACCATACAAATGAATTTTTTGTTGTTTATTTTTCAGGTCTTGTCTTTGTTACCAAAGTATTTGTCATGCAGTCCCAGTTTCAGAGAGAAGAGATGAACAGAGGATAGTTCACAAAAAATTATTGAAGTTTTTCTTTGATTTAGTAAAAGCTGAAGTCGAGTTTCTAACAAAAAGGTGGGTTTATAGGACAATACTTTCTACTTTATTACTTTATCAAAATTTCCCATGCATTTCTGTATCTACAGCAGATTGTATCCTGATTTTTATATGTTCCCATTCAGATATTGTTCTACAGAGATGGCAATTTAACATTTTCTTTTATATTTCTCAATTCTTAGTTTGTTTATTGTAATTTGTATAGGTTTTTTCCTAACCTAACCTTTCCCAGCCTATTTTTTCAGTATGTTACAAGTTTCAGTAAGCATTTAATTTTTCTCATAAAGTTGTATTTTTAGCTTTGCAGTGCCTCAGTATTTGTTCTTTAAGGTAGGCAAACATCATTTTGACATGCTGATTACTTTTTTTAAAATTCAGTTATACTTTCGTCTCTAGGAAAACTTCTTTTCTTAGTTTATGAAGTATAAAAAAAAAATCTTGGGTTTGGTCTATGTTACAGTAAAATGTGGTAGGTTCACCCAGGCTGGATGCCAGGTGCCCACCAAAGCTGCTTCATCACTGCCCTCCTCAGATGGACAGAGAAGAGAAAATACAACGAAAGGCTCATGGGTGGAGATAAGGGCAGGGAGATCACTCAGCAGTTACTGTCACAGGCAAAACTGACTTGACTTGGGAAAATTAGTTTAATTTTTTATTAATCAAATCAAAGTAAAGTCACGAAAAGCAAGAAAACAAGCCTAAAAACACCTTCCCTCTATCCCTTCTTTCTTCTCAGGCTTAATTTCACTCGCAGTTTTCTCCCTCCCAGCGGTGCAGGGAGTCGGGAAATTGGGGCTGTGGTCAGTTCCTCACACACTGTCTCTGCCACTCCCTCCTCCTCAGTGGGAGGGCTTCTTGCCCTCTGCCCCTGCTCCAGCCTGGGCTCCCTCCCGCAGGAGACCGTCCTCCCTGACTTTCTCCAACGCGAGTCCTTCCCACAGGAGACAGTTCTTCCCGAACGGCTCCAGCGTGGCTCCTTTCCATGGGTGCAGTCCTTCAGGAGCAGACTGCTCCAGCGTGGATCCCCAGCGGGGTCCCAAGTCCTGCCAGCAAACCTGGAGCTGGCTGGCATTGACTCTGACACAGGAGAAGCTTCTGGCAGCTTCACAGAATCACAGAATGTTGGGGGTTGGAAGGGACCTCACAAGATCATCCAGTCCAACCCCCCTGCCAGAGCAGGATCACCCAGAGTAGATTGCATGGGGCGGTGTCCAGGTGGGTTTTGAATGTCTTCAGAGAAGGAGACTTCTCAAAGAAGCCATCTCTGTAGTCCCCCTGCTACCAAAACCTGGCCACTCAAATCAGCCACATAAAAGCAGCTTTTACTTTACGCAATATTAGCACAATATTATAATTCCTTCTGTCTGACTATAATAGTCATCGTTATTTTACTTGTTCATCAGAAATTGTATCTTACTTTTCCATACTTAAAAATCGCCAAACCTGTGTGTGCTTTGACAGAAGTTCTCTGTGGTAGCTGTAGTAATCAAAATGGCATAAAGATTTAGATGTTTTCACTTTCTTTTTTTACAGTTTGGTTGAAGGGACCAATTCGCAGCATCAGCAAGCCATGCCACAGACAGTTCTTCTGAAGACCCTTTGGCTGGAAAACGAAACCTCAGTGCTTTTTACCAAACACATAAATATTCTAGCAGATTGGGTTATACTTTCCCATAGAGAATTGAACAGAAAAAATGATGTGAGTATGAATTTTATACTTTAAAATAATGACAACTGACATTTTATATATTTTTTTTTAAAGGCGTTCCTTTGTTCATTCCTTTGTGAGGAATTATATGTAAGTATCACAGCTGCTTGTTATAGCTGCCTTTTGTTGGGAAGCATGCTGTTTTTTGCTCCACTAAAGGAAATGAATTGATCCATAAGATTCTCATATTGATCTGTAGAGAAGAAACGAGTCATGAGTAGCTTGTTGGCTACATTCAGATGTTCACATGCCCTTACCAGCAGGTATTACTGTAGTCATTAGGGACACCAGCTTAACACGTCCTGTCAAACAATAAGGTGTAACGAAAGCGGTGATTATCTTATTTTACAGTGATTGTATTCAGGAAATGTTGGAAGGAGAAAGCTGACAAAACTAATAGTTTTTTGGATTTTTTTTTTGTTTTCTACAGATAGGCATTTTTTTTTAAATTTAATAAATGCCCCAGTTTTCTTCCCAAGTCCTTTAGTTTCATTTGGTATCTTCCCCAGGTCTTTTCATAAAAATGGAATTGAAGGCAACTTAATTGCTGTTCTGTGACCTGCTGACCAGCAGGACATTGACCTGAAAGATACTGAGTGTCCTCTATACCACCTCTTTCTTTTCAGAAGCCAGAGGCCTTGTAAAACATCTTTGACTTCTAGATTCTCACATAAAATACAAACTTACTGCTGTCTCTGCGTTCTCTTTTAAATTATTGTGAAAGCACAGAATAAATAGGTGCTTTATTCACTTTTTAAATGCAATAACAGAACAACAATAGGAAATCAAATATTCCAGAGAAAAAAGCACTTTCAATATAATACCTAGTAGTTCTTCATTATGTTAAGAAAGCAGAAAGATTAAACATAATGAGAGCTTCACTCATCTTACCTAGCCAGACCTCCTACCTTTTTTGAGGGCTATCAAAGCAAGACATTCTGAAACAGTGCTTTTTATCCTTGGTCAAGATATTAAAAAGGTGCCTAAAATTAGGCTTCTCTATCTATATTTATATTTAAACAACCTACCTTTTCAAAGCTGCTGAGCACCAAGCAGGCTTGCATTCAGTTGGTGTCAGTGGCCATTCTGTTTCTTTGGAAAATGAGACTGCTTTCATATGCTTCCTGGTGTTGAATCTGCAGTCTAAGTGTAGGCACCGTTTTCTTTTTTCTGCTGTGCCTTCTTTTGACAAGTTCTAGCACCGCAAGCTGTACCTTTTTCATAAACCATTCTTTGCATAAGCAGAATAATCACTTGTGTCAGAAAATGTACTACATATAGCAAGAATAAACTTGAAAGAAAGAATAAAACATAACATAAAACATAGAAACCTACCTCTTGTTTAGATTGTTTTCTTTATATACATATATATAAGAATTGTACTTTCAGCACAAAACTTGAATGCCTATTGCTTTCCCACTTTGATCTTATGCACCGTAATGTACAATATCCCTGTAGATATGAATTCTAGCCTTAAAAAGCAGCTTGTTGCCTCCTAATATCTGCAGTGTTTTATATTCTTTCTTACAGTCGTATCCTTTAACTTCGTATCTATATGTTGCATTGTCTTTCCCCTTGTGTTTTTTGGCAAAAATAAACACAAAACCAAAATACCATATTTTTACATTCAAAACCTGTCATCTTCCCTTTCTGCACTTTCAATTTTGTTACCCTAAAACTTGATACACTGATTTTTCCTTATATTCAGAGACTCCATTTAAAATTTAATGAAAAATGGCATTTAAAAAGCCAAAGGAGTAGATCCTCCCCAGCTATCCAGGCAGAACTGCATTTTCTTCTCTCTTTTTTTTTTTAATTATTTTAGAGATGCATAAATAAAACCACAGTATTTCCAGGTCATGAAATGTAGTATATTGTGTGCAAAGTTTTCCTTCCTCTCTTCAGTTCAAGGGTGTGGGTCAGTGTTACCAGTTCTGGTTTTTAAAAGCTCTTTGCTTAAGAGGCAGCATATGGGCAAGAAGCATGTAAGACCACTCAGAAACCTAGATGAAAGGAATGACTTTGGCAATTCTTACAGTCTGCATGGACACAGAAATTAAATGTTTTATAGCACAGTTTAAAAAAAAAAGAAAAAAAAAAAGGTGGCCGTGTTTCCCAGCTTACACAAGCATGTTAGCTTGTGGGAAGAAACAAACATGCCCATTGCCATATAACAAACTTCAGTGTAATACTCCAGTGAAAATACCTTTAAATAAAAACAGACTAATAAATTATTTTTGAGGGCAAAGCTATTGCAATCTTTTCTAAGAGGAAAAAGTGGGCAATTACATTTGGATTTTTTAGCCTATAGAATCAAATTACCTTTTTTTGTGATTCAGACACTGCATAAATCACCAGTGGAGTGGAGGGAGAATGTCTGTTTACTCTCTTCTGATGATGGTTTGTTGGAAAATTATGTTTTTAAATGTGTGTGAGACAATCAGTGCTGAAATCTGCGTTACTGGTTTCCTTGGCTTATGTACTCTGAAGGTATATCACTTTTAAGGCCTATTTTAACCTATGTCAGAAAAAAGTAAAAGACCAAATGAAGAACTACAAAGAATTAAGTTACATATATGAGTGTATTTCTTTCTTGTGTTAGATAGAAGTTACTTGTCATAAAAGTACCAAGATAAAATTACTGACAGGAAATTATATGCCCTCTCTCAGTGTGTGATTCTGCTGAGACAGGTTGGTGGAATGAAACACACATTGTCCTTGTAGTTAAAAATGCAGTACCAAAGAATATAGAAGTCTTTTTTCTGTCACTTGAGATCATTAAATCAGTATTGAATATGATTTTTATATAATTAGCATTATTTATTTGTTTGTTTTAATAGGTTTGAGGCAGAAACTCCTGGTCAAGGTTCCTTGAATCAAAGCTTTTAGTGCAGTTTTAGAATTTACAAAGAAATGTGTATTTATAACAGTTTGAGTAGCATTGAGCTATGGCATGGCTTTCCACAGTGTCACAAATGGTATCGGAAATGCTTTTCATGCCTGATCTACTCGTACTTTTACCTAGCCTGACAAAGGAGTGAAAAAAACATTAACTCCGTTTTTTTGCATCGTCTTGTGTATTTCCAATTCGTTTTCTTCATTTTTTCAGGTAGCGTTACCTTCTATAAAATTGTTTGGTGTTAATTTGTAGAACTAAATGTCTCTCTGCTCCATTTGTTCACTTTCAGTGGCTTTCCTGGAAGTATGTTTTAGGTACTTCTGGAGTACTGCATAACCCTAAAAAAATTTACATTACGTGAAAAAGAACTCTAAAGAACAACTCTAAAATAACTAATTCAAAGCAAGAAAGAAGTTAAAATGTATTTTCCTGTGACTTGAAAGCTTTCCTGTAAGAACCTTTATGTGCAGTAAAGCACACTGTGAAACTTTTGTCTCTGCAGCGCTGTGCTTGACTTGGCAAAGCATTAAATGGAACAGCAATGCAGGAATTGCGTTTGCTAAGCTGGCAGACATCAGTTGTGCTGATGTGACCTTTGTATGCTAACACAGTCAACAGCCTCTTGCCACTTCAATGCTTTACTTGGTGAGATAGCTTTGATTCTCAACAGTGAGAGCGAGGAAGAGGGTTTTGAAAAGTGGTTTAACTGGATGTTACTTAATTTGCTGTGCATGGTGTCATGGGTTGACCCCAGCTGGCAAATAAGTCCCCACCCAACCGCTTGCTCACCCACCCTGCGGCGGGACGAGGGAACCAATCAGAAGAGCAAAAAGTAGAAAACTCCTGGGTCAGGATGAAGGCAGTTTAATACGTGAAGGAAAGATGTGCATGCAAGCAAAGCAAAACAAGGGCTTTATTCAGTTCCTCGCACGGGCAGGCAGGTCTCCAGCCGCTGCCTGGAAAGCTGTGCTCTGTCATGCGTAGCAGTGACTTGGCACGGCCAACGCCATGAGCCCAAACGTTCCTCTTCCTTTCCCCAGCTTTTATTGCTGAGTGTGGTGTTCAAATGCTGTGGGACACCCCTTTGGTCATTCTGGGTCAGGTGTCCTGTCTGTGTCCCTTCCCAGCTTCTTGCATACCCCCAATCCGCGTGCCAGGATGGGCAGAGTGGGAAAAAGAAGAGTCCTGGGAGCTGTCATACACGATAGCAGTTCCTGTGTTCAATGAAAATGCTTGCTGCTTTTTCCCTCTTAGTGCGGATTGTGTTTCCATTACTATGCTTCTATCACTTTGTGGTTGAAAATGAAAATACTTATAAGATGTTGGTATGCAAGTATTTTTAGAACAGATGATGCTTTCAGTAGATCAGAGCATTTCCCCTCTCATTTGTAGCATTGAGCCATTTATTTCAAAATATTAATGAGAAACTCTTGGGTTGTACTACCATTGTTTTACCAGAATATCAACCAAGTCTACACAAATTGTCAGTATCTGCTTTGATTTTTGTCAGTGTGCAAACTGTAGTTGCAATTAGTTTATCAGCCATGTTTAATGTGCAGCTATATTTTTGACTGAAAGGTTATTAATACTTGTGGTATCACTGCTTACTTCAATCTGCTGTCCTGAGGTCAGCTTTCTCTCCCCAGCCCTTTCCTTGAAAATATTTCCTAAGTGAAGTAACATGAGCTTCTGATTTAGAAAGAAGAATCACAGAACATCAGGGGCTGGAAGGGACCTCAAAAGATCATCTAGTCCAGCCCCCTGCCAGAGCAGGATCACCTACAGTAGATCGCACAGGAACGTGTCCAGGCGGGTTTTGAATGTCTCCAGAAAAGGAGAGTCCACAACCTCCCTGGGCAGCTTGTTCCAGTGCTCTGTCACCCTCACAGGGAAAAATTAAAAAAATAATTGTGCTTTACATCTGTATCTACCTCAGAGTACATCTCTATATCCTTGATCCTGTCACTTACCTCTGTTCAAATTATGCTTATTTGCTGCATTTGTGTAATTTATTTCCTGCAAAGAATTGATGGAATCAAATTATTCAGCCAATATTTTGCTTTAGGGTCCAGTGATAAAAAAGGTATGCATACTTAAGGGAAACTTAAATGCATTTCAGATGTTTTAAATTAGTTCTTCACTTTCAATTCCTGAATCCTCAGAACGTAGGGAGTAATGTAACTTTTAAAATGTTTAGATTTCAGTTGAAAAAAAAAATATTTTAATGTTGTTGACATGCCATATGAAAGTTGTCAATTTTTTTTAATGAGATTACACACTTCATCTACAATAAAGTACTCTGATACAGTAAAGCAAGGGGCAAACCAATCAAGAGTCAGAGGAATTAGGACAGAGTCAGAGGAATTAGGACTGGAAGCCATCTCGGAGATCACATGCCTGACAGAATTTGTCCTGGCCAGTTCTTAAAACTTCTCAGTGATGGAGATTATACTGCCTCCACACACAACGTTTATTTGCAGTTGTGTTTATTCCTTTTCTTTTGGTTGACAAATAAGTCTCTTAACTGTTGGAACAATATTTTTATAGGATTTCAACAAACTACTTTGTAATCTTTATTATAAGTCTCATTTGTGTCACAGTCTCTGTTGCTCTTATATGTCTGTTTGATTTATTGATGAAGCTAGAAAATGTTTAAGTCTTTGGTGCTCTCCAGCTTCTAAGGGAATCCTGGTAAATTATTTTAAATCAACTTTGAATATGTTTGGTCTCAGAGAAGTATCGGACAAACATTGGCTGTACTGTGAGACCACAACAAGAGGCAGCAAAGTTTTGGTTCCTTTAAGTAATACTCTAACATCCAAAGCTAGCAAATAAGTGAGTACATATTCAGTTGAGTTTCCCGCTTATCAAAAATTGTCAGTTTTGAGGTACTCATTCTCTTCCACTTGTAGGCAATATATAGTCTGGTTCTGTAGTCTAGCAGTAGTGATTCTGTGGTGGAGCCTTAGAGAGATGCCGTTAAGCAAATTAACTTCACGTGTTCCCACTATGGTGCGTCTATTCTTCAAGTTTGCCCTTTCAAAACTGATATACAAATACTGAATTCTCTGTGGTTGTACATGTGCAATAACTCATTTCAGAGTCATTGCATAAAATACTTCTTCTACATGGCACAGAAGGAGTTGAGTAGGCAAATCTGACTCGAGTTTGCACAGACTAGCTCAGAAGCTGGAAGCACTGCTTTACCCAGCCAGCACTGATGAAGTGCTCACATGGGTGAGCAAATAGCACGTGAAAGTACTGTTTATTGTCTTGATGCCTCCTGAAGAGAATATGTTTTGGGGTTTTTTATCTACACCTGACCATTTTGTGTGAGTTGAGGGGAGAAAAAAGTAAGGCTAATACCCTTAAGTATGCTGTTTCTAAATTTGCAGCTTCTAGTATCATTTGAATTTTTGGTAATAAAAGAAAGTTTCACAGTCCCACAAACTGGGTGCCAAACTCTGTGCAGGAAAGTAACACTGTGCATCCTTGTTGCTTTTTGGCACACACACATCATGGTTGGTCACAAAAGGAGCTTTAACGTCATGATGAAATCTTTAGGAAGAGAGAATCCTAATAGCACAGGGAGAATAAGATCCCTGTAATTGTCAAATTAAACACAAGATTAGCTAGCATAAATGCAGTACTTGAAATATTACAGTCAAACAAAACCTAATTTAAAAAGAAATCACACTTTGTACTTGTAAGCTTCCATCCCATTTTGCATGTTGCTTTAGACAGAATGTTTTCAAATAACTTGTATTTGTCCAGTGCCAAATCTTAATTGATGTGGCATCAAAGGCATATTAATTTTGTTGATCTGGATGCAACAGTTAGCTTTTGAGCAGAAAAAGAAAGAACAGTGAGGAAATGATGTGGCAGGAGAGAGGGCTTTTTTCTAAAAGTTACTGTTACTACTGCTACATTAGCAGTGTGAATTTGTTATATTGTACATGTCTGTAGATACTATTTTCTTTTTTTTTTTTTTAGACTTTCAGGTCTGAAATAGCTGATTTGTTAAATGCAATTCTTGGAACTGTAGTGGAATATTGGATCATCTCAAGTTTGCTTATGGACAGAAACATGTTTCATCAAATAGCTGATGACTTGGCATGGCACCTTGCCATTTCATGCGATGGTGAGCATTTGAAAGGCCTCTCAGTGTCTTTTAATCAGATGCACTAAAGTTCTATCTGAAATCCTTGGATTTATTTTCAAGTTATATTTTACCTTCTCTTGCATCTGTGCAGTCTTACGATGTTATGTGTAAGTATTCAGGAAACTGTTTTATTGGCTATATGGGGCTGGCTGGCTGTCCCAAGCAATGACCAAGTAGAACAGGCTTTCTTATTAAAATCCCTCTAAATAAATCTCAATGCTTTAAATGCAAAAGCAAGGCTGTGTGGCATGAAGAAGTAAGAAAATCTTTGGAGCTCTTAGGAAGAGCTTTAAGCATATCTTAATAAACCATAAATTCAGAGAGGCAATTGGAGACACCTTAGCTCAGGCCGATTTTCACTTCACAAACTTGATCTTGTTTGCTAAAGACACTTCAGCTATAAGTTAAAAAGCTATGCTAAGCTCTCTGACCCATACAGACTTCAAATGAAACATTTCAGGGTCTCATTCCAAATTGCTAGACTCCATGGACTTTATTTGGGGGATGGGGGAAGATTCCAGCTAGTTCCATGAATAACTGTTGTTCCTCTTCATTAAGTGTGCTAGATAAAGAGAAATGTCATGGCTCAAATGAACCATTATCATTTACAATGGAATGCTGCTTGAGGTGTGTCCTTTTAGCAACTGAGGAAGGAGGAATTCAAAAGACTGAAAAAATAATCTCAAGACAACTGCTGAGTGTTTTTCGTTTTATTTTCAAACTTTATTCCCACTAAATCTTCTCCCCTTTTCCCCCAGTTAGGAAATAATGGGAAAACAGTAACTCAACTGTTTTGCCTGTATGAGTATCCTGGTTTCAGTCAAGATTTTCTCTAGAAATACGTGTATGTAGGCTTCAGTTAAAGTGTGTCTGCCTTTTCCTACCTGGACACTTGAGAAGAACTGTCATGAAAAAAATGGACTAAAATCTTGATCTCTAGACAAATCGTTCCACTCCAGTCTTAGAGAAAGCGAAGTATCTAAACTGTTGTAGCCTGCTTTAGATCTTAGCAGGCCAAATTAGTTGGAACTTTGGAGTGTTTAAATCAATGAAGCTTTTAGCATCTCTTACTTTCACCATCTCCCTGGCGGATTTTCTAGCTTTAATGTTATAGGGAGAACTATACTTTCCATATAGTATGGAAGATTGTACTCTCTTTGCTCTTCTTTATTGAGAGCATTCACAAGAACAACATCAGCAGGCAGATTATAGAGTAAAAGATTCTTAAACCTGTTGGTAGTCACTGTCACTTCAGTTCACAGGACTTGAAGCCCAAAAAACTGTTGCAGTGTTCTCTTGAATTCTGTCACTCAGAGTAGAAAAAGTCTGTACTCTTAAAACTTGTTTTTCTGTTTTGATTAAGTCTACAGATCAGTTAATGTATGACTGCTTCTTAGCAGAACAGTCGCTTTTAATGTAGAGTTTATAGCTCACCCTGCATCACTTCCAGATTTATTTCCTCATGTGTTACACATTTTATCTGTTGTGTTTGTATTGTATCACTTAAAAATTTTAAAAGTGATCACTTCCATAACTTCGTTTTCAAAATCAAGGTGTGATTTTATAAGATCGTATTAGAGTGCTTTTTAGAGAAGTTAAAAAGTGATGCTTTGCCTTTTAAAATCTATTGACCATTGTCTTAGAAGCTAGTCTTATTAACAGATGATGGATAAAATAATTTTTACTATGAGTATTTTCATTAAGGATAGCTTCTCAATCTGCAACAGCAGGGGAAAAAAAGTCCAGAAGATCTATCTTCTACATAACACTAGAAGTACAGGTTTGTATGTTTGTTTGTATATCATTTTAAGTCTCTCTTTTTTTTTTTTTTCCCTCTTTGCTTTTATCCAGATTTTTCAGTATGTGAATTAAAAATGTTCATTTGTTCCATACCATCCGCCTGGCTTCAAATGTTTGTTGCGGAGGCAGTTTTTAAAAAAATGTGTTCACAGAGGAGTATAAATCTTTCTACAGAACCTCTTTCTCTTCAGAAAATAGTAAGAAACTCTTCTATTCCTTAGTAACATATAACACAGATGTTTTGCAAGTAAGTGGATTCATGAAAGTCTTGGAAAATATTTTTCTTTTGTGGTTGAAGGTCATGCTCATTGCATACATTATCTTCCACCTATAGATGTACTCTGCTGCACTTGAATTTCTGGTTGCCTGAGACTGAGTTTCAAAACAATGGTAAGAGTTTTCTTGCCAGAGAATTTGAAACACGTGATTAATCGGTTTACATGCAGTTAATATCAAGAGTCACAATGAAATCTTTTTAAAGTAATCTGATATGAATACTTTATTGCAACGTTACATTTGTAATTAATGAAAATACCAAATATAGTGTGATTTTCCTGGATTGTCTTTTCCTTCAGGGTTTTTGGTGACAGTCTATTATTCTGGGTCCAGGCATTTGTCATATGCAAGATTTTGTGATTTTGAACCACAGTGTATCCCTGTGAATTTCTCTTCTTAAAAGCTTTCTCCTACTTCAGAACCATTTCCTGCCTTCAAATCACAATTTGTGGTACTTGTGAGGAAATATATGATGAAAGCTGTGAAAAAAATTTTCAAAACCATGACTGCTGGCAGGATGCAGGCAAATCAGGAAGATCACACCATAATGACATGCCATAACTTAGAGCCTCATTTCAGTAATCTTAATGTTAATGACTAAGCAGAATATGGAATCCGTAACTATTTCTACATTTCCTAAAATTCTACAGGTAGATTCAAAGAAAAAAAAATTACACATTTATACATTTTCCATACATAAGTTTTTACTCAATTTTACAGGAATTCATTGTGAACAGAGATCATTGTATATTAATATGTTGTGCTTATACAGAGCTCAAACAAAAGAATGACAGAATTTTAAAAATAAACCCACTATATATCTAATATTTAATGTATGTTGCCAACACATATGCAGCAGCAATTGCTATTTTTAGTATTGCCATGACTACTGATCACTCCCTGCAACTACTTAAATGTAAATTTTTGTAGTGCTTGAAGCAAGTTCTTATGCTTTTTGTGCTTTCCTTAATATTACTGTGCCTCCTTTTTTGTTCTGTACAATAAATATTAACTATTACCCAATTTTGCGCACTCTTCTCATACAGCATCATATCAGCTAGACTTTTCTATGGGTTCAGATAGTTACCTGCTACTCTCTGGTGCTAAATGTACAGAGAAAGTTCAGGTAAGGCATCCCTCACCATTGCAATTTCTCTGCAGATTCTAGAGGGATCTGCTGGGTATGCAAAACCTCCTTTAATATCTTTCTTCAGAGAGAATCGTTGTGTGAGCACTGAACCAGTCCCCACAATGGACTTTTTTCCTAAGCTTCTGCCAAACTGCAAAAACTTACATGACTCTTTGAAATGAGTGGTGTAGATGGTTTGGAAGATCTATATTACTGGAAGGAAGCCGAAATATCTACAATGTCCAAAGCTGTACTAATAATGGGGATATTGGATAGCTAGCTAGGTAGCTAACCTACTACCTTCACAGTGCTCAAAAGCCTAATCCAACACCTCCTCTTAGAAGAGATGAAAGAGAAGAGTGAGTATTTCTCTACCAAATTGTTCCCTGGGTTGGAAGCAGAACCCATGTAAATACTTGCATTAAGAACTTGAGAATCAATTAGCTTTACTTCAATCTCATGTGCAGCTACAAGTGATCAAAAGTTTCCCAGCTTCCAAAAACTGAGAGGTCTAGAATTTCCCACCTTCTTGCTCAGACAGAACCTGCCTACCTCTGAGGCCAGCATAAAAACTGAATTACAAGAACATAATAGAAGATTGCAGAAGACAACTTCAAATAATCTACGTATGCAAGCATTTAGGGACCATGCTTTTTAAAACTTAGATACAGCAGGCTGTGGCTAGTGGATGACTACTTTGCATGGAATACCACAAAAGAAAACGCGTTTTAATTAACTGTGTACAGAGTCATTCAAAACGTTACTTTTGCAACAGATCTGTTCCTATTTGCCTGCTTTGCGAGAGGTGGGGATGCTGGAGACAATAGACAAAGCAAGGAAAAGGAAAAAGGGGCAGTGGCCGTGCCCTGAGTCTCAAAGGGCATTACAGATGCTAAGTGGCGATAAGCAGAACCAAGTCAAAGTGCTGCCTGATCTACCGTAAGTAATACCTATAACATCACTGGTTTTATTCTGCTTTGGGGGACAGCTTCTGACCCGACACATTTCTTGAACTTTGTATGACCTGTTTTGTTGTCCACAAATTACTGCAACTGACAGAAAGCTCCACTGTAAACCTGTAACACCTCTGGGCTGGGGTTCCCCTTTCTCCCTGTCCTCCATCTCAGTGTATGTGCAGGCTGATGTTGTTTTATTTTCCCAATATTAAATTGAAAGAGTACAGAGAGAAGCTGAGCCATTCATAGAATTACTTTTAAAGATAGTTTAATTGTGGGTAATTTAATTTCATTACTGTTTTAAATACAGTTGTAATTAAATGACATAGAAATTATGCAATTAAGACATTTTAAAAATAATCAAAGTGGGTAGATTGAGTATGCCGTATATACACATTAAGTACATATACATAATCTTAAAATATTAAACAGTGATTTTTAGATGTGTTCCGTTTGATTTCTTTTCAGTGACTTAAACTTTACTAAGTGCCCTCCATTGACAGAAAGACTTAAAGCAAAAACAGAAGTTGAAGTTGCGTACAGCAAAGTTAATTGCTACTTTTTGCCTGGAAAGTTAAACTTTTATAAGAGAAATTTGAAAGGTATTCTTTATATCTTTTTTTTATGTTAAGAACTTTATATGGTTAGAATCAAGAATTTCAGGTTTGAAAATCTTGTCCTGATGAATACTGAGCTAAAGTGATGCCTGGTGCCTAAGAATTATTTTCTTACAGTTCGTGTTTCTTTTGTTCTGATGTATTTAAAAGGAGGAATCGTATATATGGTGGAATAAAGCTGCCTTCTTCATTCCCCTCCCCCTGCCCCCCCAGATATTAAATACAGTGTACAGCTTGTGTGAGCTCATTCCAGTCCTGCCTGCCTTACTTTGCTAATCCACCTCAACCTGTGCTTGGTAGGATCAACGTCTTCTGATTTGAAAGTATAATTCAGTCTTCATCTCTTTCAGTCCTAGACATTTTGTGAACAAAGACTGAGGAGTATGCTATGTTACATAGCTGTGTTAAGCATATGGACTGTTTTCTTCCAGGCATTCAGCCCAGACTATGAAAGGCATTTGGCTTTTGTCTTAGCTATACTGGAACCCAAGTACCTAAGGAATTAAATAGCACTGCAGTAATTCATTCCGTTCCTACTTAGTACACAAATTTAATAAATTGTACTTTACGTGAGCCTTGACCTGAATGGCATTACTTGCTGGAGCTACATCTGTCATCTTCACCATCAGAAATTTACCTATATCACTTAAAGCACAACTATATTAATATGATACCCAAGAGGCGGCTTAGGAAAAACTGGCAAAAGCAAGCAGGGATTGTTCAAAAAATTAAAACCAGAGTCATATCACAAACATTGAAGGACAAAAAAAACCCTCACCTTCTTTTGGGATTTAAGAGAGCTTCAGTAAGAGAGCCAGACCATGCATTTTTAAAATTGGTTCCCTTTCTCTTTATTGCTTTTGTAAGTAAAATTGATGTGAATTATTACATGCTGACTTCTACAAAGAAAAGTGAGCTGAAGGACTAGGACAAAAAAAAAAACAACAACAAACCAACAATCCTGCTTTCCTTTCATTCTTCCCCTGCCAAAATTGTAACTAGTATCTTCTGTTGAAAGAGTGAGTTTGGAGCTGACAGATTTACACAGTGAAGGTATTAATATAACAAAATATATCATGTAAATCTTACTGCGAAGGCTGAGAGGTTTAGCCTGAGATATTTTTCATTTCTAAGATGTTTGTTGCATCATCTTTCACCTGGCATCAAGATTTTCCTCTGGCCCATGTTCAAACCTAATCATTTGGTGAAAGCAAAACAACATTTAGAATGGGTCTGAAGTTTTGGTCATGCAGGAACTAATGGTGTCTGTACATGTAGGCAGCAGTTCTCAGCTGCTTGTTGTTCCGTTTTAACACTGATTTCAGCTTTACACGATACTAAGGCTTGGGATTTTTTTTCTCCAAAGGATTTTTTTTTAATTTTTTTTTTTATTATTATTAGGACCCCTTCATTTATTTCTCTCTTTTTCCCCCCCTCCTTTGCTACTGTAGCCAAGTCAGGCAGCCTATTGAGAAACAGCAAACCATCTGTTAACGGATTTGAAGTTCTGAATTATACTTGAGTGTGTAGAGGCACTCGTGCCTAGCCAGAAACATTCATTTGAATTAAGCTATAAATGCTGTGTAAAAAGAACCATACATTTCAACGTAGGTTCATGAATAAATTTAAGGGAGGGCAACTGCACTCTAAAGTTTTATTGCTTCAAAACCCAGTATTTTTGGTGTTCTGTGATCACTTCGTGCTTTTATAGTGTGATTGAAGCTTTAAACCTTGAACTGGGGGGAGATAATTCCTGTGTTAAACCGTTTGCAATACAATTTCATTGCTGGATCTCTGGTGGAACAGAAGCTCTGTAGGTTTTTTTTGAATTTTCTTAAAAGATGGTTAAACAGGATAAAGGAAAATCTTACTCATTATTGAATTTTCTGGCATATAGCCAGGTCTCCTAGTTCCAAGCACTTTGATTATTTTCTTTAGTTGCTATCTTGCCTAGTCTAGTGTAATCTATTAATTTTTTATGGTAGGAGAGACAGCCCTGCATAAAGCTTGCATAAGTAACAAAGTGGAGAGATTGATTCAGCTTCTCTCTTTCCCTGGAATAGACATTAATGTTAAAGGTAAGTTATTCATTTTCTCTATAGAACTAAGAAATAAGCCAGTTAAAGAACTGTATTAGTATCTCTTTGGTAATAAAGTTTATATTTATACTATTAAAACTGCCTTTATTGTTTTAAACAACACAAAATGGGGACTTTACAGCAAACGCTGAGGAAAGGGTAATTTATATCTAAAGTGTGTTTTAACATGACATTTTCTATTGGTTTTTAAAAATGCTGTTTGTTTATTTTTTGGATGTTTTTAATAGAATTTCTTGTTTGAAATCACAGGCTGCCACCATAGCCTTGATGAATACTAAAAAGTAAAAGCATTTTGCTGTCTAATGAATTACATTATTAACATTTTAGTACTACTTCTGCTGTTTTAAAACTTCCCTTGATTTATAATTCAGACTATGCTGGCTGGACGCCGTTGCATGAAGCCTGTAGCCATGGCAGCACAGTGTGTGTCCGTGAAATTTTGCAGCGTTGTCCAGAGGTAGACCTGCTCAGTGAAATGGATGGGGTGACTCCTTTGCATGATGCACTGTCAAATGGACATGTAGAAATTGGCAAGATGCTACTTCAGCGTGGGGGTGAGTGCATTTATGCTAAAATGGGTTTAGGGAAATTACCCACTGTTCTGAGCCCATATGAAGTTCGTGGTGTTTCTCTTAATAGTAGCTTAAAATACAATGTTATTATGAAATATTTATTTTAAAACATTTTTAAGCCAAGCTGTTTTGGTCATAATAAAAATAATACTGTTTTCACACTTATCTTGATCAGCTGAATATGAAATTAACCAAGATTTTCACATTTTTTTCCAATATGGTAATGTTTTTATTCTGCATTTTGCACCATATGCATTGTAACTATATTCTCCAAACTCATTAATGAAGATGAAGATCACCTTGTCACCAAGCAAAGCTAAGGATTTTCTTTTGTTTTGATCTATTTTTACCGTGATGCAAAAATAGATCAGTAAATCTCTATATAATCATGTATTTCGACATAAATTTGTTCAGCGTTTATGAAAATTAGTGTGATGGTCTTTGAAGAACACAATTAGCTTGGTAATTAGTTTAAGAAAGGAATCTATATTGTAATTGTGATAACTGGTGTTTAGGGATAATAGTGGGAGGGATGCCTTAGTTTCTAAAAAAAGATACATTTCCCCTTAGGCAAACACATGATAAATGTTTTGAACAATATTTTTTGTTCAGTGACAGAGGAGTTGTATCTTGTATAGAAATATACTCTAGCAATACAATTAACCTACCATGTTTTTTTTAAAACAACAACTGCAAAAAATTGTATTTTAATTCACTTCCTAAAATGAGGATTTGTGATACCCTTCCCACTGATCTACTGCATTAGGTTAATCTCTGCGCATTATATGCCAAGTCCAGATTTTTTCAACAAAAGTCATGCTGTGTGTAGCCACGAGGCAGAAGAATGCTACGTTTAGATCCCCTATTACTTAATTAAGGTAGAGAAACAAAATTTTATTTCATCCTTGGCATAAGACTCTCTGTATTTACAGTCTTCTCCTGCCCCCTAAAGGCTATTTCTGTGCCTGTTGTGCAGGCGCTGGCTCACAATCGATGCATTCCCCTGCAGTTCTACCTCTGTGTTTGCTGAGCTTCAGTTCTGTGGCTCCCAGGTGTTTTATATATCTACCGAACCACATAACTGACACGCGGAGCCAATACCTGGGCTCACTTCAATCGATCTAAGTGATGCAATAGCCAATATCGTAGTAAGCCCAGCTCCTAAATTGGAAATGGCATCGCCCTGACAGATGTGCATTTTTCCTAGGCTGTCATGAAGAATAGGTAGTGGATGATCCTGTTGTCCTAGGGGAAGAGCTCTACTTGCACTTGCATTCATCAAGGTTTTCTGGCAACTGTAAGGCTGCGTGTACCCTTATCTTTGCCTTTGTCACAGTCTGGGGTTCAGCCTGTCAAACAGCTGACAAGGCTGTGGTAGAGAGCGTGTTACTCATTCAGTGTGGATTTACTCAGCTCAGTTAAGTTAGAGAACATGTTCTTGCAAAAACTTGTTTCGCTTTCTTTCTCTAAAAAATCCTTTAAGCTTGCAAAATCTGATTATATTGGATAATCACTGAAGGCAAAAATAATACAACTTTAATCACAGCAGAGTTAAAACCGCTAGTATGGGTATGTAATTACCTTTTGTAATTAAAATATATTTCTGAAAATATATTTCTGAAAATGTATCCAAGTTAAAGTGGCTTTATTACTTCAGCATAGTAATACAAATGTAAGAAAATTCCTGATGTGTTCATCTTTGATAAGCACCACCTCTAGTGTGTAAACTGCCTTCACTATAATTTTCTTAAACTTATCAAGACATCTGTAAACTGTTTAAATATTAATAGCTCCAAAGTACTAATAAACAGGAAATACCAAAAGACTAGTATAATCTGAAACAGCAAAACATGTCCCATTTACTTACTTTAAATCTATTTGAGTCATTACTTTGTGCATTTCAGAAGTCTATTAAGACCAAATTTTCAAACTCAGTTGTTAGGGGGAGACTAAGGTCCCTACATCAGTAGTTTACCTTGCTGCATTTCCTAGGGCGAGGTTGGCCACACTATCCAGAAAACGAAAACAAAGGCAATCATATTAATGCTCCTTTAATTTGGAGTCAGTTTGCAAATAGCTTGGTCTATAAAATGCTTAACAGAATTTTACAACAGGAATAACATTACATTTTTACATACTATATGCATAATTACTTCTATTTTAGAGTAAGCAACATGCCAGTTTCTTTTCCATTTCTATGTAATAGTCGTTGGCTTTCAACTTAGCAAAACAGTTTCTTTATGCCATTATGGCAACGTCATAAAGAAACTGTTACAAAGGGTCTGTCTACATGTTCTAGATTGTATTACGAATGTGTAACTTACCAGTTATATCAACATAACTTAGTAAAAAAAAATATGGTTTAAACAAACAGCCTCCTAGCTTTTGGAAAAAAACAGACCTACATCCTGTTTGGTTGCCAAATCGAATGTGCTGTTGTTACTAATGTTTGTGTTTTCCCTGCAGGACCAGTCCTTCTACAGCAGAGGGACTCATATGGAAAACTGCCGCTGGATTATGTTCAGTCTGTATCAGTAAAGCAAGAACTTTTGAACATTGTTCTTCCAGAAGAGAACGTTGAAAACTTCTGTGAACGTGCAGAGCAAGAATTTCATAGTCAGCAGAGAGAACTGGGGTTGATTTTATTTATTAAGATGTTGCTGAATTTTTGTTCAGTTTATAATCTGTCTTCACCCTTTGCTTTAACACTCCGAGAGGTAACTTGTTCAAATGTAGGTCCAGTACTGGCTCATGATAACTGTAAGATGAAAAATACATTTTCTGCAGATTGGTTAGTAGATACATATTTTAGAGAGCTAGAAACTTTTGAAAATCTACCACATTTTCTTCAAGAGCTATCTGCAATTATGTTTTTTTTCCCTGGAGAACAGATGAAGGCTTTATTAGCAACTCTGGAAACTATGGTAAAGACATATCAGCTCTTTAAGTAAATATTTTTAACAGTTAGCTTCCAAACAAGTCACATTGACTCTTGACTGTCAACCCTTTGTATTGGGCTACTTTTTTGTCCAGCAAATAAAGAAGTAAAAATTTTACAGCCCTGCGTGGCAGCATCTCCCATGTTGTTCAGACTTCACTCTACCAAGACCTGGAAGTCAGATCCATTGATTCGGCTCATTTTTTAGGCAGAGTTTTTCCAGTACCAACACCTGGTTGTTGACTGACATATCTGGATGCCTGTGACCAATTCAGGAGGGTTGCTGTGTCATATGCAATGTTAAACTTTGTGTTGCAAGACTGCAAGAAGCAGTTTTTCCTTGAGCAAGTCTTGTGCCTACATATTTTAACACTTTTTAGTAAAACTGATGTTATTAATGTGTTATTAAAAATATATAGAAAATTCCTTTTATCCATTTTGGCTTTATTTGTCCTTGTCCTGTAAAAAATAAAATTACATCATGCAAGTTAATTACTTCAAAACATGAGGTAGTAAATTTGTATTCACAAAATTGGTGTACTGGTATTTCCTATGTCTTTGTTACGTTGTTGAAAGTGGTCAAACAAAGTTGCGTGGAAAATCGTCTTCTCCCTCATCAGCATGACAGCACTTGTGGTCACTTGTTCATTTGTCACGAACTGGATGATACTGGCCCGGATACTCGAGTGATTCACAAAACTCCAGTGACCACTTCCAAGATCTTTCAAGCAATCAAGTCATCTTGCTGGTTCCTAGAATGGCCCAGAAGGGCTGCATCCACCCTCGGCATAACTCACGGTGTCCTTGGCTGTACTCTAACCCGTGTTGGCTCGCGGCGGTTTGATAAATCCGTTGCATTGGCTGTGTGTAAAATGATCTGGTAATGCTCCTGGGAATCCCTGAACTAACGATTCCGGTGGAAGCAGTGGCACAAATCTAGTTATGTTGGCAGGGGAATTTACAAAGGATTAGACAAGACAGTTCAAGTATGTCCTGAGCATCAGATTCTGACACTAAGTATGGATCTCTTTAAAAATTACAACCCATTTAATATGAGAATTCTGTTCTCCGTTCTGTGAATACATGCAAACTGCACATGATAAATCCTCTAAACTAATCCTCTAACCTGATTTAGGATTGTGTGCTACATATGCTATCAGATGGTCCTTTTATTTAATTAAGAAATAGAGAAAATCCTATGCTGTTCTTTAAAGGTATTGAGGCTCATGAGGCAGCTGAACCCCGTAGTTGTGCAGTGTGGGGTCGGGGATGACAAAGAGTTGCATGTTTTCCAAAGTCCTTATTGCACATTTAAGCAGCAGCAACTTCTCTTCCTGCCTGGAATTTTTGTAGAGATCCAGCACCAAATTCATTTCAGGTTAGGGTCTGGGAAGAGAGACATTTCTAAGGAAAGCTTATCCTGTCCAAGGGAAGAGAAGAAAGTGCTGCTTTAGAATGGGGATACCTTATTTTTAGTATTTTTTTCCTAACAGATTTGGTAATACAACAGGAGTAATTTGAAATCTTAGCCTTCTGATATATGCTTGCAGAACAGCCTGCTCTGATAGAATATAGGGTCGGTGAATATCATACTTGTTTCTGTTTGTGCGCTTAATTTTTCCTACTAAAAAAGCAACCCCCAAAAACGCCTTTGTTATTTGTGAGATGGACTGATAGCCATCAGTACTCCCTGTTGCAGGGCGTGCCATGAAAGCTGTATACAATAGCTTTCTAAAGAATGCAAAATACACATTCAAGTTGGCAATGTTAACACTTTCTTCAGTCATGAGTTTGACAGGTAATTGAGAAAATACTCAGAAAACCACAGGAATTCTAGTGTATCAGAGGGAGCAATGCTGCAGAATATTTCTATCTCTACTATAATGTGTTGGTGACTGAACTGAAATCAGGAAGATTGGTCTGATAAAGAGAGCAATACTGTTTACAGATCCAAGACTTTCAAACAGTCATTTGCTCTTATGTCATTTAGACAAGAAATAAAGCACATCAATCGTTTATAAGTCCTACTTACCTATTTAAACTAATTTCAAGTACGTCTCTCCAAGATACTGTAAAGAAAAGTAGATAACTTATGCCAAATGAACATTATTAACATTGCAAAATGAAACATTCAGAGGTTAATAAATGTCTGGATTAATATTCCACATGTAACCCCAACTTAAATATTGTCTCTGCGCATCATCAGTCTTTAATTATATGCTGACACAATTTTGTCCTCTCTAATGTTCTCCCAGTTTAAGGATCATATACTGAAAATTTTCCTGTTATTTCCCAGTTATGCTCTCAACAAAGTTCAGTTTTATACATAATCAGTTTTATACATACTCAAGTTTGCATACTCCACATTCTTAAAAAATCTTGGGTCTATCTCAGTCGTATTTAACATTAAATTATATGTCCATCTAATTTATTAGATGTTCTCTTTCAGAATAGCAAAACTTTTCTGTTAAATTGTGATTGCAATAACGTGAGATCTATTAAGTGATTAAACTGCCACCTTTTTAAAAACCCTCTTGGCACTTAGTCTATTTCCCACTTCTTGGCTTAATTAAAAGAAAAAAAATCAACAAAACGCACCTTGCTCCCCTTGTTTTCGCTGTGCCCGCCTTTCACATGCCAACATCCTTCACAAGCACAAAGGTTTATCTTCATCCTTGATCAGCCCTATTTTTCCCAGTTCTTTAAAGAGTTCTTTGTTATGCTCCACCTTCAGAACAGACTTGGAAAACACCACTTTGTGCAGGTGTACCAGATGCTGCCCAGAACTAGTGGTCAGATGGCTGGTAGCCGCAAAACAGAAGGTTGAGCACACTGGGATACGCAGTCGGGACTTATGACAGCATGCAGAGATCTTAGTAAGTCTAAAAAAAAAAAAAAGTTGCATTAAGCCATATTTCAGTGTTCCATGTTCTCTGACATCTTTCCTTTGTTTCACACCACTGCCATTACCAGGTATGAAGACCATTGGTGTGTGTGGAAAAATCTCGCTGATATTTGTTAAGATGTTTTACAGAGTGTTTCTTGATTTTAAAATGGTCATGCCCATTGGCAAATAAATCACTGCTGCCAGTGTACTAGAAATCCGGGCTCAGGAGTTTTGCTGTTGATGTCTTATGTTTAGGAGCAAGGGTTAGCTCATAAAATTTAAATATTCTTACGGCTGAGGGAGCTGGGGCTGTTCCACTGGAGAAGAGGAGGCTGAGGGGAGACCTTCTCGCTCTCTGCAGCAGAAGGGGGCGGCCAGGGGGGTCGGGCTCTTCTCCCAAGGAACAAGCGATGGGACAAGAGGAAATGCCCTCAAGTTGTACCAGGGAGGGAGGGAGAGAGGGAAGAAGGGGAGGAAAAAAGGAAGAAAAGAATGAGAAGGAGAAGTTGAAGGAAAATGAAAAGAAAGAGGAAGAGACAAATGGTGCAAAAACACTGTGCTCAAGGCCAGTTAAGAAATTGAGATCCACCTTCAGGGTTCTTTCAATGCAAGTTTCATTAATCTTTCAGGAGAGCTCTCTTATTGATGCTGGAAATTTGTCATTAATCTTGAATATAGGAAAAGTGAAAATAAAACAGTGGAACAGTGAACAGTCAGCTTATACAAATTGTTAAGAGTGCTGACACAGGGAAGTTTACCTATTGTGGCTTGTCACTTGCACTTAGCTGAAGTCTAATTAATCTAATTCTTGTCTTACCTACATGAGCTTGTATACATTTACTAAATGTCACAGTTTTTCAGAAGGGTCATGTAAAGAAGGTCTCATTGTTGTTTAATTCCCATTTCACCTAAATCACCTTACTCTCGTTTTCAAAAGCAGTGGATTTTTTTTGCCGAGATCTGTAACTATCTGTATACTAGCTCATCTGTAACTAACAGCAATTTGGAAAATTTAAGAAAGGCAAAGTTAAGTGAAAAAAAATAATTTAAGTAATCTAGAGCAGTCTGTATTAAAAAATAAATCCGCAGCATCAACAATTTAGCTTGCTGGATTGTCATTTGCCTTACTTATCCATTTAGTCTTCAGCACTTTCTGCTTCTCACTGCTGCTCCAACTCCAAATTTTTTGGACGAGGTTATGCTATCTACCTCAATATACATGTGCTTGCCTGCTGAAATTTTTCTCTGAGAACAAAATACAATCTGTCAGTCTGAGGTGGTCAACCAACCACCACGTTCAGCTTCTCAGAGCCCACCCTCTCTGTATGGAAGAAGCGATATCTATAAACAGCTCTTGAACTACTGAAGACTGAACCCCACATGGGTGCCACGTGGACTGACGATAACATATCTTCTCTATCAACCCCTTCTGATTTCAGGAGTGTTCACAGAACTCGAAGAAATACCTGTTCCCTGATGGGCCTTTGCAAACGCCACATGACAAAGCAGGGAGGGAAAATTGATAAGATTTAACAACAGGTGAGTTATCAAAGGCTTCGATAAAATATTATCTCATTCACCTACAGTGAGTACTCACTGTCAGTAAAACCACAGTGTGCTGGGCTGCCCAGAAAAAAACAGGAGCAAAACTCCTGCCTTGCATGACCGGCTACTAATAGGTGAGCAGGCTGCCATTTCAAATATTTCCCTTTTATAAATTCAGGAACAAGTTTTGTTTTTCTTACCCTGTGCAGCATCCTGAGGTACAGGCCTGTAAATAGCTGATGAATAACACAATTGAGTTGCTAGTGAGCACCAGATCCAATGAAAACCCTTCAGGTCCCTTTTAGGCTTCTGTACAGGGAGAGACATGTAGGTCCCTAAGAAGCTGAGCAAGGATTATCCTTATCTTTCAAAACTGTATCCTTCCCCAGAAACCTCTTCTGGCCAGAGCATCTTCTCAAGGCAAGGAGATAAGTTTATTTTCTTCTGCAGACTCTTGTTTCTGCTATATCTGCAAGGAAATTGCATAAATATTTACCAGTTTTATTTCCCAGGTTTTTTGTTACCCACTGGAAACATCATCCTCAAGGCTGCAGGCCATCCCCTGCCTCCGCTGTCTCTGG